ACACCGCAAGGCTTGGCGATCGGATTCTTTGGGACCTTCATGAGGACAGAGATGTCTAGAACGAGATGTAGCAGATCCCTGTGGTCCCAATGCCTAAGGAGAGGCAAGTGGCAGCAAGCGTCAGCACCAAAGGTGGAGCGGTTGGTAGCGGCGATTGCGCGGACGGTCGCGCTAAGGAGAAGGAGTCCAAGAAGTGCAATCTTGGAGGGACCAGCAAGCTTGGTGAACCTATGGAGAGAGGTGCAGCAGCCAAGGAGCAGCAAAAGGGTGAGGAGAACCCCGAGGCAGCAGCGGAAGAGGACTATGGAGAGAGTATGTGGGGCGCTATTGCGAGCGCGGCATTCTCCAATCCAACTTCGGCTACGGGGGAGTGTGATTGGCTCACCTTGCATCGGCGCATGGGGCATGTGGCCCTGCCCATCTTGCAGCAGCTAGTAAAGAATGAGATGGTTGCTGGCATACGTGTGAAGGGGGAGCCCGATGAGGTACTTGGCTGCCCGACGTGCATGCAAGCCAAGTTCACCCGTTTCCCATTCTCTAGTTCGGAGGCAACGGCCAAGGCACCACTTGATGAGGTGGTGATGGACGTGGTTGGCCCCCTGAAGCTTGGAGCTGCTTGGAGCTGCTGGAGCTGCTTGGTTGTGGCTGAAGAAGAATGGTATTCGGCACTCCCTCACCATGCCATACTCCCCTGCAATGAACGGCATCGCCAAGCGAGCGAACAGCACAATCACGGAGGCGGCACGCGGGTTGCTCATTGAAGCCGGGCTACCCGACTATTTCTGGCCTGATGCGGTGCGGAGTGCGTGTGTGGCCAAGAACCGAGCCTTGACTCATGTGGGAGCAGACAAATGGGTGCCCTATGTGGAGTGGCTAGGAAGGAAGCCAAAGGTGGATATGCTTCAGGTGTTCGGGTGCATGTGCATGGCGCTCGTGCCTAAGCATCTTCGGCACAACAAGCTTGGTGCCAAGGCGGTGTGGGCCGTGCACTTGGGCATGGCTCAAAACAGCAAGGGATGGCTTCTTTGGGACCCATTCACCAAGAAGTTCTTGGTGAGCAGGGACTGCAAGTTCATGGAGAACTTCATGTACAAAGATTGGAAGGCGGAGAATGAGGCGAAGATAGGCGTGCGGTTTGGGGAGGTGAAGAGTTCCGTTTTGGAGGATGTGGAGCTGCCTTTGGAGCTGAGCAGCGGCAGCACAACCACAAGGCAATCCTCCCTTGTGAATGGGGGAGAGGAGGCCAATGACGCAGAGGAAGAAGAGGAGGAGGTGCAGCAAGTGAGCGAGCGTGCACCGTCACTCCCTTCCCGTACTACGAGTGCTCCACGGATTCGAGCCACACCGCAGCAACGCCAAGGCCTTCAACTCCCTGCAGCTGAGGAGGAAGGGAGGGGGAAGAGGAGAGTTCAACCCCCTAATAGGCTGACCTATGATGTGCTGGGAAAGCAGGGCAAGACAGCCCTGGCCGGAGCGACAATGATGGTCGGAGACGACGAGGAGAGTGACTACGAGGAGTGTGCCTTCGCGTTCTTCTCTCCGGTGGAGATGCCGGGAGAACCAGCAAATCTCAAGGAGGCTTTGGAGAGTAGTGATGCTGAGGAGTGGAAGAAGGCCATGGAGAGTGAGCTGAAGAGCATCAAGGAGAATGACACGTTTGAATTGGTGGAGCTACCGGAGGGGCGTACGGCGATAACGTCCAAGTGGCTCTTCAATATCAAGTCGGATGTTGACGGCAAGATCGAGCGCTACAAGTCTAGGCTTGTAGCCAAGGGGTACCAGCAGAAGGAGAAGGTGGACTTCAAGGAGCTGTTTGCCCCTGTGGTGAAGCCGACGACGCTGCGAACCCTATTCGCGGGAGCCGTCATCAAAGGATGGGTAGTAAAACAAATGGACATCGTAACGGCATTCCTTAACGGCATCCTTGAGGAGGAGATTTTTATGTCGCAGCCAGAGGGGTTTGATGATGGTAGTGGCAGAGTGTGGAAGCTGAAGAAGGCCCTCTATGGGCTGAAGCAGGCCCCTAGGCAATGGTACATGAAGCTGCGCGAAGTGTTGGAGGGGATCGGCTTCACTCCCTCAACGGCCGATCACTCCTTGTTCATGCTTGGCGAGGGGGAGCAGAGGAGCTTCATGGTGGTTTATGTGGATGACATTCTTATATTCTCACCCTCCTCTGACCTTGTGAAGGAGGTGATGCTGAAGCTGCATGACAAGTTCAAGTGCAAGTCTCTTGGTGACGTGAGCTTCTACCTTGGGCTACACATCGAACGAGACGTGGAGAAGCGGAGCATGCGAGTGCACCAACGGAAGTACCTGGAGGCGTTGGCTGCCAACTTCGGCCAGAGTGAAGGTCATGTGGCTACTCCCTTTCCCTCTGGGTTCAAGTGTGTGAAGGGACCAGAGGAGGAGAGCGTTTGTGAAGAGGAGAGGCGCCGTTTTCACTCGTTGGTGGGCAGCCTCATGTATGCGGCGGTAAACACCCGACCGGATGTCGCGTTTGCTACCTGGCAGCTGGCTAGGGTTGTGCAACGCCCTAATGAGGAGCAGGTAGCAGCTGGAATGAGGGTGGCCAAGTATCTTGGCCAAACACCGACCGTTGGGCTGCAATACTCGGCGGCGGCACAAAGGCGCCAAAAGGGCGCGGATGGTGTTGAACCCGGGCGTTTGTTCCTCACCGCCTACTCGGATGCGTCATATGCATCGGAACCAGAGGACATGACAAGTATGGGAGGCTTCATATGCTGTGTTGGTGGAGGCCCAACTGCTTGGGAGAGCAAGAAGCAGGTTGACCAAGCTTTGAGCTCGGTGGAGTCCGAGTACATGGCACTCTTCCGCGCCGTACGGGAGATTGTGTGGCAGCGGCGTTTGTTGGCTGAATGGAGGAGCAGCAAGGACCTACCCCACTCTACTGTGACAGCCAGGGTGCCATTGCTCTTGCTAAGAACCCTGTGTTGCATGGACTCACAAAGCACATGAGGGTGAAGTGGCATTGGACGAGGAGCATGGTGACCGCGGGTGAAGTTGAGTTGCGGTACGTGAAGACCACGGGGCAGCCGGCTGACATGATGACTAAGAGGCTGGTGAGGCAGCAGCATTGGAAGTGTTGCAAGCTGGCTGAGATGGCTCTGAACTGAGAGAGCAACATATCCTAAGGCCAACAATCCGAGGGGGAGTTTGTTGGTGCAACCCTACGGTTTGCACTCGGCTTGTTGTCCGTGTGCGTGCATGTGTGTGTGTATGGAATGGTATGAGGGCATGGGATAATATATATTTCATGCTTATAATTGTGTGTGAATGTCAAGCCATGATGTCGAGTGTGTGTGTCGAGTCAATAGCGAGTAATCGCTAGACGCGTGTTACGCGGTCGTTTGTGTCTCGCGCTTCTATTTTTGTCGTGCGCGGTTTCTATTTTGTCCTGTGTCGAACGTTCGGTGTGTCGCAGGTGTGTGCAGCAGACCCATCAAGAACTCAAGGATGAGTTTGTGATGAAGAGCCTGAGCCTTGGTGTCAAGCCTCAAGTGATTTCAAAGCTCGCCAAAAGGGTACACCTCAAGATATTGAAGATAGTTACATTACTTTGTGTAGTGTAACATTTCACTTGGTGTAGGCCCTAGTGAAGGGTAGTTTCGAGACCCTTCGTGGTTGGGGACAGTGTGGCACTGTTCCACATCACTGTACCTCGGCTCTTGGGGTTTGTAGGAGCTGGGAGTCATTCCCAACTCGTAACTATTCATATCTCTTCCTATTTTGTGTTCTAAGACTATAGTGGCTGCCATAGTGCCGTTCGTTCAAACCAACACTGTGTCGTCAATACTTGGTGAAATTGTGCGATATAAATTGCCTATTGTAGGCGACGTTCAGACGCTCCAGATCCAAGTTGAATCGGGTCATTTGAAGTTGTGACCAGAACGCTATGAACGTTTGAAGCCGCTGTGCAGAAATCCGGCTGTGCACTCTATCTTTCGTTTTAGGCACATTGGAGCCTATTGTGACTATAACATTCCAGGCCCCTAGTGGCCCCTAGCGGCCTCGTCGCCACCCCTCACGCGGCCCCGTTGCTGCCCCTAGCGGCCCCGTCGCCGCCTCTCACCCTACGCGGCCCCGTCGCCGCCCCTACGCGGCCCCGTCGCCGCCCCTACGCGGCCCCGTCGCCGCCCCTAGCGGCCCCGTCGCCGCCCCTAGCGGCCCCCGTCGCCGCCTCTCACCCTACACGGCCCCGTCGCCGCCCCTACACGGCCCCGTCGCCGCCCCTAGCGGCCCCGTCGCCGCCCCTATCGGCCCCGTCGCCGCCTCTCACCCTACGCGGCCCCGTCGCCGCCCATACGCGGCCCCGTCGCCGCCCCTAGCGGCCCCGTCGCCGCCTCTCACCCTACGCGGCCCCCTTGCCGCCCCTAAGCAGCCCCGCTGCCGCCCCTAAGCGGCCCCGTCGCCGCCCCTAAGCGGCCCCGTTGCCGCCCCTAAGCGGCCCCGTCGCCGCCTCTCACCCTCACGGCCCCGTTGCCACCCCTTAGCGGCCCCGTCGCCGCCCCTAAGCGGCCCCATTGCCACCCCTACACGGCCCTGTCGCCGCCTCTACGCGGCCCTGTCGCCGCCCCTAGCGGCCCCGTTGCCGCCACTACACGGCCCCGTCGCCGCTCCCCTCCCTAAGCAGCCCCGTCGCCGCCCCTAGCGGCCACAACGCCGCATCTACCGAGCAGCCCAGCAGCTGAGCCGCCCAACAGAAGAGCCGCCGAGCTGCCCAGCAGCCGAGCCACCGAGCCGCCCAGCAACCGAGCCGCCGAGCCGCCCGACAGCCGAGCCGCCCAGCAGCAGAGCCGCCGAGCCGCCAAGTAGCCGAACCGCCGAGCCGCCCAACAGCCGAGCCGCCCGACAGCCGAGCCGCCCAGCAGCCGAGCCGCCGAGCCGCCCTGCCGTCGAGCCGCTCCTAGTCCTACCGGCGCGCCTCGGCCCTACTTACTCGGACTGGTGAGCTCACTCCTTGCTAGGCCACTGCAGTCATGGATACCCCCAGTGTTCTTACCTTTGATACTGAGGGTCGTGCTGTTGACTTTAAGGTCTGGGTCGATGACCTCCAGCTGTTCCTCCAGTGCGATAGGGCAGACGGCCTCTCCCTTTTCGACCTCACCTCTGGTGCCTCCCCTGCCCCGCCTGCTACTGCTGACAGCACTGTTCGCTCATAGTGGGCGACACGCGATGCTGCTGCCCGCGATGCTGTGCGTCGCCACTTACCGACCACTGAGCGTGCGCACTTTAGCCAGTACAAGAGTACTCAGACCTTGTACGACGCTGTAGTTGCACGCTACTCTTCCCCTGCCACTGCTGCACTGAGCCGCCTCATGCTGCCGTACCTGTTCCCTGACCTTGCTGCCTTTCTCACAGTCACTGACCTCATTACACACCTTCACACTAGTGACACTCGCTACCGCGCTGCGCTTCCTCCTGAGTTCTGTGCCAAGAACCCCCCCCCCATGTACATCACCCTCTACTACATAGTCACCCGGCTCCCTTACTCCCTTCGCTTAGTCAGGGACCACTTCCTCTCAGTTTGCCCCACCACACTCACCGTTGACCTCCTTGAGGAGTGCCTCCTAGCAGCAGAGAAGAGCATAGTCGCTGTAGGAGCCTCTCGTTATGACCCTCGCACCCCCGTCTTTGAGGGGTGTTCCCCCTCCCCCCTCTTGCCCTCTGTTGCTTCTGCTGCTGCTGCCGACCTCGTTGGTTTCTACGGGGTCGGCACTGCGTCTGCCCCTAGCGGGAGACGCCGCACCAGCAAGGGCAAGGGGGGCAAGGGCGCTGGAGGGGCTGGCAGGGGCGGTGGAGGTGGTGGTGGAGGCAGTGGAGGGGGTGGGGGTGGTGGTGGGAGTGGTGGCGGAGGTGGTGGCGGCGGTGGCAGCAGTGGAGGCGGAGGAGGCTGCGGTGGTGGCGGAGGGAGCGGAGGCGGCGAAGGTGGCGGAGGCGGCGGAGGTGGCGGAGGCAGCGGAGGCGGCGGCGGCAGTGGCGGTGGAGCTGGTCACGACTCTGCGCAGACGAGTGGGTCCGGTGGTGGTCCGCGCCAACAGCAGCAGCGCAGTCGTGAGACCCTGACCCCTCAGCAGCTTCGTGAGTGGTACGCTGCGCGTCAGCGCGGTGGGGGTACTGGCCCCTGCACTTACGTCCTCCGTACCGGCGACCGCGCTGGTGAGCAGTGCGGGGGCCCGCACTCCACCCAGCGCTGCTTCGGCCGCCTGACGAATGCGTGGAGTAACCAGTTCCCTGAGGCGTCAGAGATCCCTTGCTGGGGAGATCTGTCTAGGGCGGGGGTTGCCATCTTTGATCTTGACTATGATGCTATTCTTGCTGCCATGTATGCTGTGTCTACTAGTGTTGCAGGTGACTGTTACCTGTGTGTTCCGCCTGACCCGGGCATTGCGGCTGCTGCTCTAGGTGCTGGTGAGGCTACTGCTCTAGGTGCTAGTGCGTCTGCTGCCCAAGGTGCTAGTGCGTCTGCTGCCCCAGGTGCTGGTGAGTCTGCTCTCTCAGGTACTACATCGGCTCAGGCCTTACACACCTTCACCCTTGACTCGGGTGCTTCCCGCTCCTTCTTTCGAGACCGCACCACGCTTACGCCGCTTAGTCGGCCGGTTGCAGTCTCCCTGGCGAACCCCTCTTGGGGTCCTGTCCTTGCTTGCTTCTCCCATGTCTTACCGTGCCCGGCAGCCCCCTCTGGCACCCTGTCAGGTCTCTACCTCCCCTCGTTCTCTACGAACTTGGTGAGTGGAGCTGACCTACAGGATAGGGGGGTTGACCAGTTCACTCCTGCGAGTCAGCGGGTGACCCACTACACGTGTGCTCGGACAGGCCGACACTTGGTCACGTTCACCCGTCGGCCAGGGTCGAGCCTGTACACACTTACTACTGAGTCTCCTCCGGCTGCTGAGTCTGGCCAGGTCACTGCGTCGAGTCAGGTGTTTGCTGCAGCGTCCAGGTCTGGTCCTGAGTCTGCTCCCTGCTCGTGTCGTCTCCTGTCCCACCAGACTCTCCTTTGGCACCTTGTCTTGGTCACCCCTCCCTGCCTCGTCTCCGAGTCATGGCCTCCCGTGTCCTTGTCTCTGGTCTCCCCGGGTCTCTCCCTCCCCTACCTCCAGGGCCTGCCCCTACCTGCGTCCCCTGCGTTGAGGGGCGACAGCGCGCCGCCCCTCACTCCTCCGAGTTTCCTCCGACAGAGGCTCTGTCAGAATAGTATTCTTATGTTCTAGCCTGTAGTGGGGTGCTCTATAGCGAGTACAACCCTTCTAGGGTTTGCTATTTGTATCCCCATTTCTGCTAGTTCATTTCTCTTTTCTTTTTCTTTCTTCAAACTTTTTCATGCTATCAGAGCAGGTCGATCCCCTTGGATCGATCCTGTGGGTGGGTTACCACCTCGCTTCCGCTGCTACTTTTTCCTCCTGCCGTGCGCCCCGAGGCGCGCGGCGGTTTTCTGCCCGCCGTGCGCCCCGAGGCGCGCGGCGGTTCTTTGCCCGCTGTGCGCCCCGAGGCGCGCGGCGGGCTTCTGCCCTACGTCGCGGCCCCGCCCTGCGTCGCGGCCCAGCCCCTCGAAGCGGCCCCGACCGTCGCGGCCCCGCCCCTCAACGCGGCCCCGCCCTACGTCGCAGCCCCGCCCTGCGTCGCGGCCCCGCCCCTCGAAGCGGCCCCGCCCTATGTCACGGCCCCGCCCCGACCGTCGCGGCCCCGCCCCTCGACGCGGCCCCGCCCTACGTCGCGGCCCCGCCCTGCGTCGCGGCCCCGCCCCTCGAAGCGGCCCCGCCCTATGTCACGGCCACGCCCCGACCGTCGCGGCCCCGCCCCTCGACGCGGCCCCGCCCTACGTCGCGGCCCCGCCCTGCGTCGCGGCCCCGCCCCTCGAAGCGGCCCCGCCCTACGTCGCGGCCCCGCCCCTCGTCGCGGCCCCGCCCCGATAGTCGCAGTCCCGCCCCTTGTCGCGGCCCCGCCCTCCAACCAGGCCCGTGGTGGACCCCTTTCACCACACCGCCCCCCCCCCCCCCCCCCCCCCCCCCTTCCCCCTGCCATTTCCCGTCGTCCGTAGAGGCGACCTGAGGGGGCCGCTTGCTGTGGAGTGGCGGGTATGGGGGTGGCCGGTGAGCCTTCCTCCCTTGCTCCTCCTCCTCCTTCGTCTCCCACTGCTGCAGCTGTCGCTGAGGGGGGTGGTTATGTGGGAGACTGGGGTTTAGGGTTTAAGGGGGGGTGCGTGGGAGTAGAGCTAGCGGTGTAGCAGTGGGTGTGTATTAGGGGGGTGGGACTGTTTGCGGGAGGTTGAGCGGAGGCTGCCGGCTTGTCGTCCGCAGCACCTGTAGTCCGGGGCGCTGTCCCGGTAGCCCAGTCGTAGCCAGCTGTGCCAGCCGCCCGTGGGTCCGTTGCCCGTCCGCCGCTATTTGAGCCGCGGGGCCTGTTACTCCTGTAGTCCGGGCGCTGTCCGGTAGCCGCTGTGCCAGTCTGCCTCCTGTTGCCCGTGTGTCTGCAGCTTCAGCCGTCGCCTCCTGTCTCCTCTCCCCTCACTCTCCCTCCTCCTCCTCACTTGCCCGTTGTGACTACCACTAGCTTTGCTTATAATTGTGAACTCTAAACAATTTCTTCTTGAACTTGTGCTCAGAATGTGTGGTGACATTGTGATCCACCCTGAGCTTGTTTTGCTTTGCCTGCTCTGCCGATTACACCCCACTTTGGCTATGGGGGTGTGTCAGAATATTATTCTTATGTTCTAGCCTGTAGTGGGGTGCTCTATAGCGAGTACAACCCTTCTAGGGTTTGCTATTTGTATCCCCATTTCTGCTAGTTCATTTCTCTTTCCTTTTTCTTTCTTCTAACTTTTGTCAGGCTCCGCTGTAGACTCTCCACATGGACGTATGGGGCCCCGCCCGAGTCCGTGGACAGGGGCACGAGCGTTACTTCCTGTTGGTGGTTGACGACTACTCGCGTTGCACCACAGTCTTCCCCTTGCGCAGCAAGGGTGACGTCACTGAGGTGTTGATCGACTGGATCCGCGCAGCTCGTCTCCAGCTCAGAGAGAGTTTCGGCTCGGACTTTCCTGTTCTGCGTCTGCAGTCCGACAGAGGCGGGGAGTTTTCCTCTGGCTTACTAGGAGCCTTCTGTCGTGCACAGGGCATCCGCCAGACGTTCACGCTTTCGGCCTCTCCACAGCAAAATGGGATTGCTGAGCGCTGCATTGGCATGGTCATGGACGTCGCTCGTACGTCCATGATCCATGCGGCTGCTCCCCATTTTCTGTGGCTGTTTGCGGTTCGGTACGCAGCGCATCAGATCACCCTTTAGCCCCGGGTCTCCTTGCCAGAGAGCTCCCCCACCTTGCCGTGGACGGGGAAGGTTGGCGATGCATCTGCGTTTCGTGTCTTGGGATCTCGGGCGTTTGTCCGCGACTTGTCTGCAGACAAGCTGTCCCCCCATGCTGTTCCCTGCGTCTTCCTTGGCTTCCCCCCTGACGCGCCTGGTTGGCAGTTTTACCACCCCACCTCGCGCCGTGTTCTGTCCTCCCAGAACGTCACCTTTGACGAGTCGGTTCCTTACTACCGTCTCTTCCCCTACCGCACTGCGCCCCTAACCCCGCCGCCGCTCTTCCTTGCGCCAAGTCCTCCCCCGGTAGACCCCCTCCCCCCTCAGGGTCCTGCCCCGTCAGGTGTGTCCCAGATAGACGCAGTCGAGCCTGTCGTGGTAGCTGTAGACTCTAGTGCTCTTAGAGGTGCTGAGCCTACGGGTGTCGGGTCTGGAGGTGCTGGGCCTGGGGGTGAGGAGCCTGGGGGTGCTAAGCCTGGGGGTCCTGAGTCTGGGGGTGCTGAGCCCGGGAGTGCTGAGCCTGGGGGTGCTGAGTCTGGGGGTGCTGAGCTTGGGGGTGCGGAGCCTGGGGGTGCCGGGTCTGCTCGTGTGGCCTCTCGCGGTGCTTTGTCGAGGCGGGAGCCACTCTCTCCACAGGAGCTGCGCGAGTGGTTTGCTCGGCGCTGGAGCCGTGCTGCTGGAGCTGGAGGTACTACTGTTGCTGCTGGTCCCAGAGGTACTCGTACTGGCGGTGCTGGAGCTGCTGGGACTGGGGGTGCTGCTGGGGCTGCTGGAGTTGGTCCTGATGGAGGTACTGCTCGAGCTGCTGGCGGTACTGTAGCCGCTGGTCCTGCTGCAGCTGGAGCTGCTGAGGGTGTTGGCGCTGGTGGTTGTGCTGGCGCTGGTGCTTTTGCGGGTGCTGGAGTTGGCGCTGTTGGAGCTGTTGGCGCTGCTGGCGCTGGTGCTGCCGCTGGGGGTACTAGTGCTGTCCCTGCTGGTTCTGGAGACGCTGCGCGGCCGCGGCCGTACTTTGTTCCGCTCCTCGAGCAGGTTCTTGGTCTCCCGCCCTCTACTGGTCCTGCACCCTCCCTTAGAGAGTCCGCAGACTGTCCTGTCGCAGTCACAGTTACAGCCCGCCTCCCCTCTTCCTGCTCCTTCTCCCTACACTGGTCCCACTGGAGGTCTTGCTGAGCGTCGTGAGCCTGCGTCTCGTCCTGCGTCGCTTGTTCGTGCTGCTCGCACTAGTCGTCGTGCTCCGCGTCCGCGTCCTCTTGCGGTCCCGGGCACACACCAGATGGCACTGCGTGTCCCGTTGACGTCTCCTCCAGAATCCTCTCTTCCTGTTCTTGCTAACCCTGAGTCTGACTCCCTTCGTGCTGCCAGTCCTACTATCACGCGTCTCCTGGCTACTGTTGTCACTGACCCTTCCTTTGAGTCCACTGCTGCGTCTGCCTTAGTGGCTGAGCTTATCGACTTTGCTGCTCGCTGTCGTCTCGACTACGCCGCTAGTCTTGTTGCTGAGTCTGAGTCTGTCTGTCCTCCGTCCGTCGGGGGTGAGTGTGCTCTTAGCACGGACGTCCTTGAGGACAGGCAGGAGGAGTTCCAGTGTTTTGCTGCTGCTTTGCCTCATCTCGTGTCCACGCTGATTGCCCCTGAGGGAGACCCGGATGCACCAGACATCCCGACTCCTCGATCGTACGCTGAGGCGATCGAGGGTCCCTTCTCCTCTCAGCGGCAGTCAGCTATGAACGCAGAGATGGCTTCCTGGAAGTCCACAGGCACCTATGGCAATTGACCTGTTCAGTTTACTCTGGCGCAATCCACGGCATTCCGCAGCACTCTAGCCGATCGAGCCTCCCAGTCAGCCATCATCAGGTTTTCGCTAGTAAACTGCCTTGTTCTTCTAGCCAGAAACCCGCATGTTTTCCCCAGAAAGTCGAGATCCCTGAAAATTACAGAAACCAGCCACAACAGACAACAACCGCCAGTTTACCCCCGCATCTGAACTCACAACCCTTCCCTTACAGTAAATCCCCAATTACAGGGCACTCAACAACCCCCAAAAAAAGCTAATTACTCGTCCCCCAGTTTTAGGCAGATTTACATTTTTTCTGATGACATCACCAGATCAGATGTAGAATGCGTAAAAAAATCTGATGCATCATGGAGGTTCCGCCGGAGGTTCGCCTGTCGGTCGATGATGGCGAACTGAGTAAGGCGCGGTGAACGTGACAGACGGCACTACGATCTACATCAGTTCGAGGCAAAGGGCTGAAAACGTGAGGGTCTCGCTAAGAGAGGTGGATGGGTTCCGAAGCGCGCTGCGGCGCCGTTGAAGCTCGCACGGCAATGGAATAAAACGGCAAGTTCTCAAAGATGCAAGTGGTAATATTGCCTTCTCGGCGCGATATGGGGAGATTGCGCATCGTTTGGATCCAGACAGGCGTACAACGCACACATCACAAGCATGATTTCACCCTCAGGTGTCCAATGTTGAATTAGCACAGATTGTTGACTACTATTGGGATCTAAAAACCCTTAAGTACACCCTTAACACACTACAAGTAGTCCCCACGGGGTCATCTCCAAGGGTCCTCGGGTGCCTGGCAAAGCCAGCCCCTAACCAAGGGTCCATGTTTGTAGAGGGTTTTTCCCAAGTGTGAAAATGGTCGTGTGCACTAAGAGCATTCCGAAGCTCAATTGCGCAGCGTTGACGGACGATAGGTGCGTGTGCAGAAAAAGCTCCTCGCGTCAATATGTCGATAGAGCAATTTTCGTTTACCAAAGGAATGATCACAACCAAGCACAAGCACGCATATATATTTTGTCAAACATTATATATGTTCTGCTTG